ACATGTGTTTGAACTATGTGGGTCTACTTATGCATGGATTTTTTTTTTCCACTAAAGAAGTACTGTCATACTACATAACCCATGGTTGGTTCAATCTGTGGATGCAGAACTGTGGATATCAAGGGCTGACTGTAAAGTTATATGGGAATTTTCAAAAGCATGGGGGTTGATGCCCCTGATACCACCCTCCGCTATATTCAAGGTCAACTGTACATTATAACCATGGTATTCAAAATTCAAAAAGGCAAAACATGAGCGTCTCCCTCCCCTCTTTTCCCTTAGCCTCCCAGGTCCAAGAACCTGTGTTACTAGGTTAGTAGATTTTGGTCTTGGATGCTAGATTTCCTCCCTCCTTCCCCCAACTGACTCTAAATGTTAGCTTTATTATCATGCACAAAATATGGACTCTTCTAGGTTTTCTCCTTTTTCATTAACTGACCTCTTTTTCTTCCACTATCGTAGTTTGTTTTTTTTGGGGGGGGGGATGTGCCTCATGGCATGTAGGATCTTAGTTCCCTGACCAAGAATTGAACTTGCACCCCTTGCATTTGAAACTCAGAGTGTTAACCACTGCACCACCAGGGAAGTCACATTTTTAAAATTATGACTTTACATAGTTAGCCCCTGGTAGCACAGGTTCTTTTTCAACATTTTCTTGGTTATATTTGCCCATTTATTCATTCTTTTCTATGAAATTTATAATCATTTTATTGCTCTTCTGCACATACCATTAGAATCTAATTTAGAATGATATTAAATTTATAAAATAATAATGATAGTGAGTTTTCCTCTCTAGAAATATAGTCTGTCCCATATTGATTGATGTCTTCCTGTCATTCTCTCTTTTATTATAGCACTCACTAAAGTTTCATAGATTTTTTATGAGGGTTGTGAACATTTCTTGTTAAGTTTGTTCCTAGGAGTTTTATGTTTCTTGTTGCTAGGGAATAGGATCATTTCCCCCTCAGTCTTCTCTTTAACTGGAAATTGTTGGACTATAAGAAAGTATTTGATTGAAAAATCATTGTGAAATAGATCTATTTGCATATAGAACATATATATACAGTTTAAAGAAGAATAATAAAGCAGGCAGCTTCCCAGTTGGCTCAGTGGTAAAGAATCTGCCTGCCAATTCATGAGCCGTGGGTTTGATCCCTGGGTCAGGAAGATCTCCTGGAGAAGGAAATGGCAACTCACTCCAGTATTCTAGCCTGGGAAATCCCATAGACAAAGGAGCCTGGTGGACTGCAGTCCATGGGGTCACAAGGAGTCAACAACAACAGTAAAGTAGCATGTGCCTAGCTAATGGAAGAAACAGTATCAACAGCCCTTTAGAAATTCCTTTCTTTACATGTGACCTCCGCTCTCCTCATCCTCAGGGGATACACTAACCTAAATTCTCTTTTATCATTATTAGCTTGCTATTCTCTACTGCTTTAGCATGTAGGTTTATGTCTTTAAACAGAATGTTTTTAAAGTTTGTATGCTTTTCACCTTTTATAAATGGAATCACGCTGTATTCTGTTTTTTAATTGATCCATGCGTGTGTTCTTGAGATTCATGCTGTTGTATGCAGTTACGGTTCATTCCTTTTTCTTTTTTTAACTGCTATTGTAAAGTGATCCAGTTTTTATCCCCCTCCACTTATTGATGGAAATTTGGGTTGCTTGCACTTTTCCTTGCTGTTACCACGATCTTTTTCAGTGTGTTTCTCTAGGATGTATAGAGCAGAATCATCAGGTCGTAGGCTGTATGTTATCTTCTCCTTTCTTGGTTCTCTCTCCAGCCCTGGACCAGAGGGCTTGTTGCTCTACATCCTCATCATATTTAGTATCATCCACACTTTTAGCTCTTGCCACTCTGTTAAGAGTGAGCCAGTATTAAATTGTTATTTTGATGATTACTGCTCAGATGGAATGTATTTACGGGCTATGTGTTGACTCATTTACACACCCATACTTTTCTTCACCCATTTTTTTCCTATTAGGTTATTGCCAATTCTGATACTAATCCTTTGTTTATTATGTGGTGCAAATACTTGTCTTGGTGTGTGGCTGGCTTATTCACCATCTTAATAGCATCTTTTGATGGATAAAACTGTCAGATACTTCAGCAAGCTTATCATTAACTGGATTTCAGTATTTGTTTATGTGTCTTTTCTTTTGTGGTAAAGTGTGCGTAACAATGAAATACACAAATCTCATGTGTTTCATCAGAAGAGCTCAGATAAAAGCATACCTGTGCAACCCAGACCGCTTTCAAGACAGAACATGACCATCACCCTAGAAAGTCCCCTCATGCCTCTTCCCAGGCAATCCTTTCCCGGCTTCCCTAGAATCAACCATTCTGACTTTTTTTCCAGATCAGTTTTGCCCATGTTAGAACTTCGTATAAATGGAATCACATGTATGTACTCTTTTGTCAAAGGCTTCTTTCTCTCCTACTTGACATAATGTTTTAGGATACTTCCCTGTTGTTGTGTGTGTATCAATTGTTGTTCACTTGCTAAGTCATGTCTGACTCTGATCGCATGGACCGCAGCCTGCCAGGCTCCTCGACCCTCCACTATCTCCCAGATTTTGCTCATACTCATGCTCATTGAGTCAGTGATGCTATCTAACCATCTCGTCCTCCGCTGCCCCCTTCTCTTTTTGCCTTCAGTCTTTCCCAGCATCAGGGTCTTTTCCAATGAGTTGGCCCTTGTGTGTATCAGTAGTTGCTTCCTTTTTTTTTTTTTTTTAATTTTAGTTGCTTCCTTTTTCTTGCTGAGCAGTATTCCACTGTCTGAATATGTACTATTTGCTTCTCCATTTACCTGTTCATAGAGCCTTGGACTGTTTTTAGTTTTAGGCTATTATAAATGGAGTGGCCATAAGTATTCTTGTTGATTTATGTTTTCAATGTTATGTATTGTTTCTCTTCCATGTTTTACTTGTATTAAGGGTGGAATTGCTGGTTAGGTGTAACTCTGTGCTTTATTGATGTGTAAGATCCATACAGGGGACTTCCCTGGTGGTCCAGTAGTTAAGACTTTGCCTTCCAATGCAGAGGGTGCGAGTTCGATCCCTGGTTGGGGAGCTGAAATCCAACATGCCTCTCGGACAAAAAACCAAAACATGAAACAGAGACAGTATTGTAACAAGTTCACTAAAGACTTTAAAAATGGTCCACATTAAAAAAAAAAATCTTAAGATCCATTCAGAAAACAGCATAAACTCTAAATATTTTGCTTACCTAATGTTTTACAAAGCAAACACAGCTAGGTAGCCATCACCCAGGTCAAGAGGTGGGATGCTGACCCAAGTTAGGCTGGATCATTTTTTCTGGGATCTGAAATCTAAGCAGAGTGAAGCAGGAAGGGAAAAGATATTGGAGCCTCTTATTCTCACGGTAGCAGCTGATTAGAACATGAGGCTCAGACCCTGTAGCTGCCAGGGTTCTTGTCTTCTTCCGTGTCAGGATCTTTAGCCTTCCCATTATTTCCTGGCTATGAGGTGTCGTCAGTAAATCCCTTTCTCCTTAAGTCAGCCACAGCTGGTTTCTGGTGCTTGCAATCCAAGAATCCCATTTCATGCCTCGTGCCCCATGGATAGCACCAAAAATTTGGTGGAACGTGTCTGTCCTATTGCTAAAACTCAGAGTAGAAGCTGTCTTTAACCAATCCTTATATTTTAAAAAGAATGTATTTATTTATTTATTGTGGGCTGGGTCTTCCTAGCTGTGAGGGCTTTTCTCTAGGCGCGGAGAGCGAGGGCTGCGCTAGCTTCAGCGCGCGGACTGCTCATTGTGGTGGCTTCCCTTGTTGCAGAGCACAGGCTGTACGATGCGTGGACTTCAGCATTTGCTACACGTGGACTCAGTAGTGATGGCTCCCGGACTCTGTGGTGCACGGGCTTAGTCGCTCCAAGGCACGTGGAATCTTCCCAGGCCAGGGATCAAGCCTGTGTCTCTTGCAGTGGCAGGGGGATTCTTTATACTGAACCACGTGGGAAGCCCGATCCTTGAATTTTTCCATGACGCCATTTGAACCCATAATTCCTGGGCTGACATGACAAGGTGACCTCTCAAACAAGTAGTCACTTTACCTCTAACTTTTAAAAGTGTGAGGCAAATCTACTTCAAACCTTTGGGCTTGGCGAAGGTTGTTTTTTTTTTTAACCCCCATAACCTTAAATTTAGTTCCCAGTTTTGAAACAATTTTCTCTGGGTCCCCAGTGGAAAGTTAATAGAGAATGCTGACTTAATTTAGGTGAAATGTAGGAGTGTCTGTTATTTTCCGAACTTCATTTTTGGAAATCAGTTTATTTCTCTTCAATGTAGAGGGCAGGTTGAGGGGGGTTAGATGAGGGAGTGTTCAGTACTGTAATCAGACAACAAGGGCTAGACCCCGAGTTCTTTTGCCCCATTCCTCAGGGACCCTTCGCCTAAGAAAGCTCAACTTTGAAATTGTTCTGCTTCAAGTGGAGCCTCATTTACAAGTAGAAAAGAAATGAATTTTCTTCTGGTTTCTTTTTTTTAATGTCATCAAATCACATGGATTAGTGACAGGAAACGACCCAATTTCAACTGGTCTAAGCATTGTCGGCGCTTGTCCTTGTTAATGTCAGGGTTTGGGCAGGTGTTTGATCAGGGGACGGTGCCCATGAGTTAGATTTGCCAAGAAAAGGTCAGAGATGAATGCGAAATTCTAACTCCAAATGGTGGAGATCAGCCAGCCCAGGCCACATCTTAGAGCAGCCACTGAGCTGCTGTCCGTGTTTCCCAGATTTCATTACTTTGCTTCTCTTGAGAGTCTGTTCCTGTGGTGACCTCTGCCTGCCATCCTAATCCTGCTGGTGGTTTTCCTCGTTTGCAGAAGTCACTGCTTAGGGGCTGATGACCCCAACCTGGTCTCGAAGACCTTCCTCCTACTTCCTGGGCTTGTTAGGACCTTCCACCTTCGACTTGAACACGGCAGAAAGTGGACACAGTTCTTGACCACGTGATCTCCGCATTGGCAGAGTTCTGCGGAGCAGGTTACTAGCTGCTTTGAGCATCTTGCTTGGCCAGAGCTGCAGGTGACTGTGGACATCGTGGTGGCTCTGCCAAAGTCATTTTTGCGGGTTGAGAGCCTTATGAGGGCACCGCACGGAATAGGGTTTCCGTTTGTGGTTTTATGATGGCGACTTTCTCACACATGGCCAGCCGTGTAGTGTCTTGTTTTAGGGTTATCAGTTCATGATAGCCATTTTCCAACAGGTGGAAGAGATGCTTTTCCACCACAGGGAACCTCTTCTTCCTTCCTGTAAAAGGACCTTGTGGACTGGGATGCAGGTTTGGGTGTCATGTGGTAAACTGGGTCACCCCTGAAAGGGTGATGAGGGGTAACTTAGCGAAGGGGGAAACTCGAGAGTGAGAGGTCCCTGTATGGAATCTAAAATGCCTATACAGGGTCTTCCCTGGTGGTCCAGTGGCTAAGGCTCTGCACTCCCAAAGCAGGGGGCCTGGGTTCCATCCCTGGTCAGGGACCTAGATCCCACATGCTGCAACCAAGACCCAGCACAACCAAATATATATATATATATATTTTTTAAGATGAAGACTTAAAACCAATAGCCTTCTTCCACTTTAAGAAACTAAGGGAAAAAAAGAGCAAACCAAATCTAAAGCAAGCAGAAGGAAAGAAGTAATAAAGATTAGAGCACAAAATAAGGAAATAGAGAAAAGACCACATATTGTGTGATTGCATTTATATGAAATGTCCAGAATATGCAGACCTATAGAGACAGGAAGTAGATTCGTGGTTTTCCAGGGCTGAGGAGAGGGAAGGATGGGGAATGACTGCTAATGGGTACAGGGTTTCTTTTGGGGGTGATGAAAATGTTCTAGAATGAGATGGTGGTAATGGTTGTAAAACTGTGAATATACTAAAACCGCTGAATTGTACATTTTAATAGGGTGAATTTTATAGTACATAAGTTAAATTTCGATAATGACGTTAATAAAAAAATCAAAACAGGTAATTGGGTGAAAGGGGGTTGGGGAGAGGCAGAATTGGGGGAAGCATTCTCCAGGGAGGAGTATCAGGGTGTCCGCAACCCCAAGGGGAAAGAGTGTAGTGTGTTACAGAGGCCCTGGGTGGGGTGGGCTGGGCTGGCGTGGGCAGTCTTCAGTTTTATTATTAGTAGAGAGTCGCTGGGGGGTTTCCGTGGATGGTTTCATAGGTGCTTTCTCTTCCTTGGGCATTTCCACCTGGGGAAAATGGCCCCTCCGTGAACTCCTAAATTTGCATCTTATTATTCCAGAGAGGAGTTGAGTTGAGACTTCACTCTCTTAGCCAATTTCCTAGCTTCTCAAAGGAGGGACCTCAATATGCCAGTTTGGGCTGAGGGCATCTCTAGAAGACTCAGCTGGTGGTTTCCCTAATGGTTCCAAGTGGCTGGCATTTCGAAGAGCTCTTTGTGACTGTGTGATGCAGACAGATTGGAGAGGGCCAGGAGTGGATTTAAGAGGCACCTGGGGCAGCCCAAGTGAGAAGAACCTGCCCGTCAGGGAGGTTATAGTTCAAGGTCACCCCACTAGATGGAGCCAGACCTGAGTCCCTCTGGCACGGTAACCTCTTCTCTCCACCGGCCACTGATTTGCATCCCCCCAGGTAGTCTTTAGGCTTTCCCTGGTGGCTCAGACAGTAAAGAATCTGCCTGCAGTGCAGGAGACCCGGGTTCAATTCCTGGGTCTGGAAGATTCCCTGGAGGAGGGCATGGCAACCTATTCCCATATCCTTGCCTAGAGAATTTCATGGACAGAAGAGCCTGGCATGCAACAGCCCATGGGGTGGCAAAGAGTCGGACACAACTAAACGACCACACTTTCACTTTCATATATTCTTAAACAGCCCAGAGAGTGGCTGAGATGTCCACGCTTAACGAGCTGGGGGAAGGGAAATGGACATCGTATTAATCAGGCTAAATAGAGCTTGTGGCTCACTAGGGCTGGCCTCGCTGCAAACAGTGGAAATGGGCATTTGTTGCCAGGACACTGGAGTAACTCACAGAAGCTCAGGCCCCAGGAAGGGCTGGATCAAGCACACGGATCAGAGGAAGGCCCAGGAGCCCTCTCTCTGCCTTGCGTTTGCTCAGCGCTATTTCGGCTCTCCTCTCCTGGCTCTCAACTGCAGACCACCTTTCTCTTTCCCGGGCATTTCCACCTGGGGAGCATGACCCCTCCATTAGCCCCATTCATTTGCATCTTATTGTCCCAGAGAGCAGTTGAGTTGAGACTTCAGTCTCTCAGCCACTGTCCTTGATTCTCAAGGAAGGGACCTCTAATATGCCAGCTTGGACTGAGTGCACCCCTGGAAGAGTCATTAGTCCTTGTGTAAACTCAGGGATTCTGGAGTCCACAATGAAGCCTGGCACAATGAAGGAAGAAGGGGCATCTGATGGAATGCAAGTGTCCTATGGCAAGGGTCCCTCCACCCCCACCTTGGAGAATGCTCTGCCGAGGATGGATCTGCTTCTAAACTGCACGAGACCTTATTTTGTCACTTGAATTTATTTGGAAACAGCCCTCTGACTGTCCACCTCCCCCACCCCCGGGCCTTCGCTTTCAGCTCTTCGCCAGGCAGGGAACATTCCAGAATTTAGAATTAATCTTCCTACTTTTGTGAATTCTGTCCGCTTCTCCTGAAAAGCAAGGTCTAGCTCACGCCCTGCTGAAAAGCTCATTGAAAAGGACCCCAGTTATTATCATTGTCTCATTTTCACCTGCTGTTTGAAACTCATCGGTGCTGATTCAGGTGCCTGGAAACCCTGGTGACTGTGGAATAAATGGGCCTCTGATTGGGGACAAGAGGGGACAGGAAATGGTGAGGTCTGGCAGGAGGCAGGTGTGAGGGCCACCTGCCAATCACGTCCCCAACCCCACGGCTACCAGCCTCAGCTCACTGCTTTCAGCAGGCCTGCAGGTAATGTATGCTGTGCCATCTGCCCTTTGTGCCAGGGATGCTGTGGTCGGGAGAGGGAGGGGGCACTGGGAGCCCCAGGCCCTTCATGCCTGGGGCCATTTCCAGGGCTAAGAAGGGGGTTGATCCTGGATGGGGCTTTTTATCTTGCTGTGAGGAGCAGGGAATTGAAGTCCTTTACTCAGGAGCTCTCTCAGACATCAGAGTGGGAGGCAGGGAAGGATCCTGTCTGCAGATGTGAGTTCCAAAGGCTCATTTCTCTTTGAATTCCTTGCAGCACTTCTAGGAGCGCTGCGGCTGGCCATTTTCTGACAGGCTGTGCCCTGGGTGCCTGGCATGTTGTTATCAATGCTGATAATGATGCTGGTGGCATGCACACGGCTGGTGCCTTACCTCTGATTAGCAGTCACTAACCTCCACGTTTAATTTCTGTTATAATCTAGTGAGTGAAGTAGGACAGATTGTTTTATATGCATTTAATAGCTGATAAACCTTCAGGTTGGCTGGACATGGGATGAAGTGGGTGTGTGAGGAATTTTTCCCCTTCACAGCCACACAGCTGGTCAGAGCTGGGATTGAAAGCCTGTCTTCCAATCTTGGATCCTGGACTCTGTTCACAACAGCGTGGAATGATCTTCTGAATTCTCTCAGGCACAGACAGTGGCTTATTCTTCCTGGTTTTCCTGTCTGTCATCCATCCATCTCTCCATTTATGCCTCCATCTTTTTCTATAAAGGAATTGAGATACTAGTAAGAACATATATTTCTCTATATACCTTGAATATATAAGAAACTAGAGGTAAAGTAGATACTTAATGCCAGAGCTATGTGTAGATTTTTTTTATATTTGTTTATATACGTGTTTTTGTTGTTTAGTCGCTAAGTTGTGTCTGACTCTTTTGTGAGCCCCTGGACTGTAAGCCCCTGGATTCTAACCCCACCAGGCTCCTCTGTCCATGGGATTCTCCAGGCAGGAATACTGGAGTAGTTGCCATTTCCTTTTCCAGGGGATCTTCCCGACCCAGGGATCAAACCCACGTCTCTTGCATATTCTGCATTTGCAGGTGGATTCTTTACCACTGTGTCCTGGGAAGCTCATGTAATTAATAGGAACCCATAAAAATAAGGTCAGGAGAAACCTAAATTTACTGGAAAGTCACAACCAGGGCAAGAGTTAGGCTATATATTCAGGCCATTGAGCTGTGCATGGTTTACTATGGTTGAGCCACAGATTTAACTCAGCTAATGAGTGATCAAAGCAGGGGGAAGAATGTATTATTTACACAGTTCATGAGGTCCATAGGGAGCAGGGGACCAGACGCTGAGGGCTTTTCCAGGCAGTTAGATTTGAAGGGAATTTCTTGCCTGGGTGGTCATCTACGAGATCCTGAGGGGCAAGCGAAATACGTGGCACATGTACTGATACTCTCTGTTCCTCCCCTCGTGCCAGCCATCACTAATCAGCACCCTTTCCCACTGAGGCCAGAGAGAGCCTTGCAGTCCGTCAAGCATGGTGTTCCAGGCAGCCATTACCAGTGATGTGGAGCTGGCATGCAGGATGAAACCACGTGCTACTCCAGCTCTGGGGGTGATGGTGGTATCAGGAGTCATTGGGCAATTCTGGATGGAGAGCCGCAGGAAGTTGTGGCAAGCACCTCTGCAGGAGTGGACACCATGTCCTGTTGTCCACTGGAGGTGTGTTTGCCGTAAACCGCGTCTAGGTGTCCGTCGGAGGGACCCGTCAAGGTAATGATGGGTGCTGAGTGTGTTTGGTTAGTACATGTGGTGCATTCTTACTCCTTCCTGCCCCCGGGTGGGTGGCTTACTCAGGACTCTTGATTACAAATGGCAAAGACCCAACTCAAACTAGTTTCACTGAAAAGTAGACTTGGTGGACCTGGCAAGTTGGAGATCAAAGGACTGATTCAGGCATGGCTAGAACAATGGAACCCATTTTGAGAAGTTCTTCATGATGATGTCCATCCCTCCCGCTTAGCAGCACCTGCTTCTGTTCCCCACTGGGGATTAGGTGCTAGATGTGGTCTTCTTCTCACCACGTTTCTTCCTGTTATTAGCTTGTTTGCACTCTGAAAAGTCAACAATGGGATCCTTGTCACCTTCCTTGGCCCTTCAGGCAGGTGTCAGCTCCTCCCTGCATGACCTTTGCCCTCCTCGAGATGCACGTGGGAGGCCGTGGCGTTTGAGTCATTGGTTATG